CCCGACCCCCGCCTCCCGCCCCGCCAGGCAGGAGAGTTTCCGGTGAGCAGCACGGAGGCGCAACTGAAACGCTCTCTTCCACCTGCGGGAAGGTCAGCTCCAAACGCCCGCAAGAGTCGCCATTCTGGCCTCTGGCCCATGTTCCTGGATGGAGGCCTGGAGAGAGGCGCCCTCCCACCCCCCAGCTCAGCGCGCCTGGAAACTCCTACCAGGGGCGGGTGTGCGCCTCCTCGCCGGTAATTAATTACCGAACTCAAGGGGGAATATGCAAACCGCATATTACTAACTCTTCAGGGCTTAAGTGATTGGAAACAGATTATTATCTTGTTTGTCTTTTGTCTGTTTTACTTATCCCACCGCCGTCTGTCGAGTTGTAATGTTGATACTCTTTACTCTAGGAGGAAGATTTTTATATAGTAAATTCCATCAACATCTTGTATAAGTGACATTGCGTCTCCATGCATTATCCTGTTAAGATACAAGCGGTTTATTAGTTACATATAGGAGGGGGTTTCGCTGCCTGGTCGCCATCTGTTAGTTGGTCTGCTGGCCTCTTTCGGATGCTCTGCACCCTGGAAGGTGGAGGGGCTGGCAGAGGCCAAGCGGCCTCCCCTACATCTGGGCTGAGGTGATGGAGCTTCTTTGCTGAGGCCCCCAGGGTGACTCCAGGGGTCTGTGGCTGGAGCAGAATGGGAAAATTCAGCTATAGGAGGCAGAAGGCCAGACCTGGGCTTCTGGAAGCAGAGCCTTCATCTCCTGCAATGGGGCATTCAGCCCCAGGAGACTCCCCACATCTAGGCTCTAGGAGACCCAGAGCTGCTCTCTCAAGCTGTCCCCTACTCCTGCTACCTCCTTGGCCCGGCGTCACAGCTGCGGGAGCCTAGCTGTGCATTGGCATTTAAGCACATCCAGAAGGTGAGGACAGGTGGATTTGTCTGAGATGGAGCCGGCGCACAAGGCATCAAGCGGCCGGCAGGGTGGGCAAAGCCAGGACTGGGAAAACGTGGCAGGCAGACAAGCCCTTCAGGTACTCAGATGAGGACTGGGGGAGTGTAGGCTCAGTGGTGCCTAATCCAGAGTAGGGGAGAAGAAGGCCATTAGATGGGGGGCTTCAAATGACCGTATGTGAGTCTTCCCTCCGGCACCCCCAAATCTGTCCAGTGTGCGAGGAAAATCATTCATTACGGCAATGAGCCGGATGCTGGATTTGGATACCCGGTAGAGAGGCAGAGGGAGAGAAACGAAAACAGAGAGAATGTGAGAAAAAAAATGACGTGGAAATGGAGGAGAGAGGAAAACAGAAGGAGAACAGAGACTGAACGCAGGAAAGAGAGGGAGACAGAGGAAAACGGGTGACACGAGAAACGGGAGACAGGGAACCCCCAGCGAGACAAAGACCCGGCGGACTGCGCAATCTGCCCTCACTTCAGCCTGGGCGCCGCTCTCCTCTCACGTCCTTGTTTCTCTCAAGGACCCTTCATGCCCCCGGGGACGGGGCCCGGCACTGCCAGGAACTGCGGCTTCATCCGGAGCCCCTGGAGCTCTCCCGAATGGGACTGGGAGACCAGGCGAGATCCATCCTGTTTGATCCTGGCCTGGCCTGGCTCCAAGCAGCCACACTGTTAGGGTGTGTAGACACCTCTCCTTCAGCAAGCTGGAAGGTGGAGGGACAGCACCATCGGGCAGACACTGCCCAGTTGGGGGGCTCTTTTTCAGAGGCCCAGCTTGTGGGTCAACACCCTACCCGGTAACCAGCTTCTGTCAAGTCCTTGTTCCCAGCCCGATCACCTCTCCTAGAGAATGGGGCACAGCACTAGGCCTGGACAGAAACCGGGAAAGAAGTGAGCATCTCTGTGTTTCTACCAAATGCCCCAACACAAGCATCCACAAATCCTGCCTCCCTAAATCCACAAAGGCAATCACCGCTGCTGCTAGTACACACGCAACCCCCCCTCCCCCCAAAAAAAAACCTACAGGAGTGGCATAAACAAAAACACTGCTCTCTGAGTAAATACAAACATGTGACGCACGGAGCGACGGGCACACAACACAGATCCACAAAATTCTGCATTCATCCAACCTGGCTCAGTCACGTACACATCCCATTCGCCTACATACAAGCACATGCATTCGGATTTTATAAAGTCCATTTCCACATCCATGTTAGCACACACGTACACAAATAATCTTACACAAGTGCACACTCGCACATGCAAACACCCTCACATTCACCTGGCCGCAAGTAAGTAGATACACAGACCAACGAAAACGAGAATACACAAACGAATACACACAAACATTAGCAGAACCACACACAGCTATAAATGCAAAATGCACACAAAAAAACACACATACCAAAATGTACTCACGTGATTGATTAGTAACTATAAACAGAGGCAAATAAAAATAAAATAAACATTAAAAAATAAAATAAACAGAGGCAAAAACATGATTCTCGAACAGCAAATATACACTAACAAATGGTAAATGCACACCCAAATACGCATGCACAGCCAAGTTTTGGCACAAACACAGTCCCCTGGCTCCAGCTGTTGGGCCCAAGGCCTATCTTCCCCTGGGCAGCTCCCATCCGGCTTTCCAGGAACCCCCTGGAAAATTCCCGCCGGCCTTCCGGGCCTTCCTAAATTAGAGCGCCCAGTCACGGGGCAGGTCCCCTTTCAGGAAAGAGGCCAGGCCCTCTCCTCCTCCACCCCAGACTCATACCCTTTTCCACGTACACCTGCGAGCACCCCTCACCCTCTGTGGCCCCTTGGCGCCCTGCAGAGCTGCTCTTCCTGCATTCTATAAGAGATAGGACTTGCACACCCATCTGGCACGCCCCACGTGTGCAAGTAGCACCCACCCAATCGCTAGCGTTCCCCGCCTTGGCAGTGCGACTCACTCACCACAGTTCCCCGGACCGACCGCCCCGAGATCGGGAATGGGCCGCGAGGGAAGGAGAGACGGATGAACGCGGCCTCTGAGCTGGCTTGGTAAAGACCGGGCTGGCCCCGGACCTCTCCCTCCCCTCATCCCCAGAGCCCCGTGGGTGGCGCGCTCAGGCCTGAAATTCTGGGTGCCTGACCAGGCCAGATGACATGCTGCTCCAGCCTGCTTGGAGAAAGATACGCGAACCCAACGGCTTCGTTCATAGTACTGGTATGCTCGCACTCTCTCTCTCTCTCTCTCTCTCTCTCTCTCTCTCTCTCTCTCATTCTCTTTCCCCCTCCCTCTCTTTATCTCTCCCCACGCCTCACGAGACAAGCCCGAGTGGGCCCTAGCACTGTTTATCACAAAAGAAGCCGAGCGGCTCTGGGAGCCCCTTGAACTGCGCTGTCGCGGCTTCGGGGCGCAGACCCCAGGGACGCGCGCGGGGCTGAGGAAATCCAATCTGGGCGGGCTGGGCTGGGCAGGAGAAGGAGAAGGCGGATGTAGAGCGCGCTCCGGGCCTCGGACAAGTTCTGCAAGTTCCAGGGA